TTACTGTTCCACTGACTACAGAACTAAATGACTGGACCTAGGACAGAGAGAACGTAGGAAGAAGGCCTAGTGTGTCACGGAGAGATCAACAGCAATTCTGATGGGGTTTGAATGGGCCAATATGCTAATACCTTGAAGTTGATATAAACATAAATAATAAAGGCATGACAACTACCAATACAATGCTCACCTTCCCAAACATACTTCATGCTCCTCTACTGTTACTTCACTCAGCGACTCTTCTTTCACTGCAGCAACATCCCGTGCCTCTGTCTGTACACAACAGACAAACAATTAGACACAATGCTTGCATCAGTATGTCAGTACCAGTGAGTGCTGCATAAGCTTCCTCTGGCTTCATGATAAATCCTTTGAAACCAAAGCTTCTATACAATTTGCATTTAAAATTAAAATATTTCCATATGACATAAATTACTGGGCAAAAAGAAAATGTTAATGTGAATAGTAACCATACAACATAAATTTCTTCCATGGAACATAAAATACCTGGTTACTGTTCCGGTATGTTACAGAGAACTCAAAGTGGTGAATCGCAGAGGGCTTGGCCAGAAGTATCTAGAATATTTTAAACCAGAATTATACCAGTAATGTTCAATGTTTCAGGGACTTCTATGTGTATTTTTCACATTGTGCAAAAATCACTAACTGTTATTACATTTAAATTAATACATGCAACATTTTAATATTTATTAAGCACCTGACAGGAAAATAGGAGCTAGGGTAGCGTTTTCAGTATAGCAACTGGCTATGGGCTGGACGACTGAGTTCCAATGCCGGTGGGGTCAAGAATTTTCTTTCCTCCAAGTCATCCACACTGACACTGCGGTCCACCCAACCTCCTATACAATGGGTACTAAGGGTTCTTTCTCTGGGGGTAAAGTGGCCAGGGCATGAAGCTGACCACTCACCTTCAGCTAGTGCTGAGGACAAGAAAATGTGGATCTATACATCCATTCCCCCATACGCCTTCATGGTGTAGTGCTTAATTCATTGACCACAGGGACAACTTTACCTTTTTTTACCTTACCTTGACAGGAAAATGGCTCCATTAGGGAAAAATACATATTGAGATGTATATTCCCCCAAAATGCAAAAATTTTATGCATGTATTTGAAGTATTTAAGGGCCTCAGGTTTACTAACTCTTCATAACTACCCCTGTTTTGACCTCAAATCCTAAACTTCCATTAAATTGTCAGACAGTAATTACTTCAGAATTCCATCTAAGATGCCTGAAGTTGCAAGCTGAATTGTTAAACCTTAATGTCCATGAAGAAGAGGTAATTCTCTCATCTCACCTTAACTTCCTTCTTCAATGTAGGAAGTGCTACCAGCACATTTTCAGCTGCCAGGTTTACACCAATGTGTTGACCATAAGGCAGTAATGATGCTACGCTGGTCTCACTGTCAAAACCTGGTTCCACTTTGATTACATCCATGTTGGGCTGCAACATAACATTCAGGTTCTACAAACTACTGCACAGTTGACATACATTCTTACAATGTTTGAAAAAATACAAAAAGAAGCAATATTAATATGCATAATCATCACTTTGCTAACTTTTTTACACCACAGGTTTCTAATTTATGTTAGTGACTAGTCTGCTTGCTACTATTCAGTTCAGAACCTTTTGTCTTCTCACCTGCCATCTAAAAACTTAAAAATTAGAATATACAAATTATAATTGTCTGTGGTTCTGTATGGGTGTAAAACTTGGTCTCTGACATTAAGGGAGGAAAAGAGACAGAGGGTATTTGAGAACAGGGNCCAGAACCTTTGTCTTCTCACCTGCTGTCTAAAAACGTAAAAATTAGAATATACGAAATTATAATTCTGTCTGTGGTTCTGTATGGGTGTAAAACTTGGTCTCTGACATTAAGGGAGGAAAACAGAAAGAGGGTGTTTGAGAACAGGGTGTTGAGGAGAATATTTGGACTAAAGAGAGATGAAGTGACAGGAGGTTGTACGCTTCGTCAAGTTAACTAGAATGATCAAGCCAAGGAGGATGGGATGGGGAGGGCATGTAGCAGTGAACAGGGGAGTGCACATACTCAACTATGTTTAAAGTATAACCACAGCCTGACATCACTAGAACCACTAGCAGACATACAGGCCTTTATGGCAGTTGTATTTGTAGATGAGAACTAATGAAATCAATGTGTATGGGGAATGTTGCACCAGTGGTGACAGTTGTCCTTACATAATAAAAATCGAGGNCTATGTTTAAAGTATAACCACAGCCTGACATCACTAGACCCACTAGCAGTCATACAGGCCTTTTATGGCAGTTGTATTTGTAGATGAGAACTAATGAAATCAATATGTATGGGGAAGGGGGGGTTGTGTTGCACCAGTGGTGACAGTTGTCCTTACATAATAAAAATCGAGGCAAGAGCCAAATACTTACTATGATTTCTCTAGTGGTGTGGGTCTGCATGACAAGTGACACAATGATTAAGAACGGTCACTTTAAAAGTCTGTGATATACTTCAATCCAGAATATTTCTAAAGGAACTCTGAAGAACAATGACAAACCTCACCAAACGGCTTGATATAGCACTAACGTTCGGGAGGTGTTCAGCTCGAATTTCGGACGGGACACCTGACTCAGGGATTTCGCTGTTTCCTCAGTCCCTCCGGGCACATGTTCGGATATTACCTCAATCGGGCCGCCACCATCATTTCCTTCCAGATTCTTTCCAATTTATTTTTTCTTTAATTACAATATCATTACACACTATATAGTCTAAGTGCTCACAGCGTCATAACCTTAAAATCTCAATCCCCTTACCTAGTCCGCTCACAGAGACTTCATTAATGAATCTGTGTACAAAGCTGGATTGCTAACCTGGACATTAAAGTATTCCATAATCTGGATGTCCTTTCTTGTCAAAAATATACTGCTCTATCGTTCATAACAGACAAATATAATTAATTATACGCTTGTTCATACTCATTTCCAACTTACGTACAAACTCCATACTCCATACTTCGTAATAATTATTCAATTATACCTTTCAGAGCTTTCAGAGCCATCAATTGTTTGGACAATTTTATATCATCGTTGCCCCACTGGTAGCTGTCAAGACCGGTCATGACTTTCGTACGAAATTTAATAGAGATCCATGGTGAAAACCACAGAGTCGTACAGCAATTCTTGAGATTCTTGAGAAACTTGACCAGTAGGCCTTTAACCGTCGATCTCTTAAGAATTTTCGTCATTGCTGCTCACTGTCGACCAGTCATTATCTGCTCAACAAGGCTATAAAACCAAGCTACTGGCACAGTCCAGGGATCGAACCCTTGTCCCCCCTCGAGGTGGGGCAACTGTTCTACATCGCAGCGGAGCGAAAGGGCGACAAAGAAATAGTGGCCTTCCAGCATCACCGTATGATCTATATATTGACTCTTAAAATATAAAAAAATTGTTCTAAATTTACTAAAGTAATTGTAAAGGTAAAGTTGTCCTTGTGCTTACTGCTTAACTAATTAAGCACTACGCCATGAAGGCGTATGGGGGAGTGGCTGTATAGATCCACATTTTCTTGACCTCGGCACTAGTTGGAGGTGAGTGGTGGGCTTCATGCCCCTGCCGCTTTACCCCCGGGGAAAGAGCCCCCGGTACCCATTGGATAAGAGACTGGGTGGGCCCAGGGCTGGTCTGGGCGACGTGGAAAAGAAAATTCTTGACCTTACCGGGGCTCGAACTCCGACCACTCGGTCGTCCAGCACGTAGTCAGTCGCTATGTCGACTACGCTATCCCTGTCTCCCCAGTAACATCATTACATTGTGATAAATTTTGAACAAAAGATGACAATCCCTGAACATCTCATCAGAACATTTTAATAGTATTTACAGAAATCCTACTCCTTGGGCGAGAGCACACCAAGGAAACCGGCAACCGCAACGCAACCGCAATTTCCGAGAATTGTTATCAGCCTGAGTTGAACACGTGTTACTGAATAGAGCAGCGCAAACTGAGGAAACTTTGTTGTTGTGTCCTCAATTTGCGCTGCTCCATTCAGTATCACGCGTTCATCTCAGGCTGAAAATAATTCTCGGAAACTGCGGTTGCGTTGCGGTTGCCAGTTTCATTAGTGTGCTCTCGACCTTAATTCCTCCAACATAAAACTCTTGATTTACCATGAAAAGAAAAGACTTCATATCCCTTCAGTCGAGAAGTACCACCCATACACCAGTAAACTGTTGAGGGATATATGAGGATATCAAGATGGCGAGAATATGAGGGTTACGGTTTTCTTGAATGTGACACCTTTCAGGTTCAGAGTCACCTGCTGTCTTCTGTTCTGAACACAGAAGCATCATCTTTCCCAAAATGGTGGTACACATTGATCTGCAGCAAAAGCCGCAGTTAAGGATTGTTTGTGGATAAGACTTCTGTACCATAAATTGAGAATTTTCTTAAATAGTGGTTACACAGAATTCAAACATAGAATGACACAAGCTTGTAGCATTAAAAAGACATAAAATAAATAGAGCGCTTCACTACTACGTCTGAAAATATAGAGAAACCTAACCTTCCATTCAAGTAAAAATTATACAAACCGAAGCACAGCTTTCACATGGGAACCGGATTTTAATTCACTACATGGGCATAAAACACTGTAACAAGAGACATTAAATCATTGAAAATTATGCATCATTTACATGGGGCTTTGGCTGTTTGCCAAAGAAAGTAAGCGAAATTGGACAGTCTCTTACATCAGGAAACAATGAATCACGATTTGTCTGTAATTACACGGTTTCACACCAAAAATATTGTAATCTTCTACCTGGGGTCATGTGACACACTTTTCATTGTCTAGAAAACACACGATCTGTGAAAATTAGAGTTCAGTATTTCCAGTTCAATGCTCCATTCCACACTTTGTTGAAATCAGACTGTGAAATCTTGTCCCAACCAGAAGAAGAACAATGTATAAACAGGCAACGACAAGCGCAGAAGGCAGGATCCATGTTAGCCAGATATTTGTCTTCTTTTCTTCTATCACACTGGCAGCCCTGCATGGTGTCTGCATCTCATCTTGTGGTTGCTGCTTGCAGGGAAACTGGCCATCTGCCCATTCGTCTGGAAATACATGAGAAGTTGAAGATTTCTATCTTCTGGGAAATAAAACTGTGCACCCTACTGAAAGTCAATAGACGTTTCGGAAGAACATTTCTCCACTATCTTTAGGGTTGAAGAATAAGCCAAGCACGAAGTGGTAGCAAACAGAGCTCTACAACAAAACAATATTTCTCAATATAATTATGTTAAACATTTCGTGAATATTGGTATTAATTCGGTCAAACTACGAAACATGGTCCCTGAAAGCGTCATACGGGATACCTCACTGAAAACACCGAACTTTTCATCGGGAATGTTGCTTACGTAAGCTATGACATACCCTGGTTCTAGGGCTGGCCCTAGATGATCCATGAGACTTGGGGACGGATCGTGTTCGCTAGGTGTGGGCTCCTAAAATCAGGGGGCTCTGTGCAGCTACCCACTTTTCGTTTTGGATAAAGTGGTATTGGGTACACCATGTGAAGGTGAGAAGTTGGCATTAAGGCGAAAGGGATTCCGAACTGCAATTCTTACTTCCTGCACCCTCAGATGGATAGCCCTCCCACTCACCCTCTCATAAAGGAGGACAAGATACATGAATCCCAGTCCCATCCATGTCACCGATCAGACGCAATAAGCTTACCTGCTTCAGTAGAGCAGTTTAGAGGAACCTCTGCGTAATAAATGTTCATCTGTTGGATCCACGTGGCCAGCGAGTGACATTCACAGCCTCCTGAACCATTGAAGAGCATGGGGTTTCCCCGCAGGTCCAACAAGTGTAGGCGGCACATTGGTGCTATTTGCTGGGGAAATAATACTTTCAGTTCATTTCCAGAAATGTTAAGTTCCAAGAGTCTGGGATACATCCCCAGAGGGGGTAGGTTCTCCAGGTGACAATTGGCTAACGACAGCAATTCTAAAGTTTCACTGGTTGGGGCAAATTCGAACCCCCCTCCACCCTTCAGTCTATTATTGTCCACGTATAATTTTCGGAGCTTTGGTAGCTGAAGAACTCCAACAGGGACCGTCTCTAGTGCGTTGTGTGACAAACGGATGACTTCTAGATTCTGCAAAGGCTCAAACGTCCCATTCTCTACATAGGAGATCATGTTGTCGTCCAGGTAGAGGTACTTGAGGTGCGTGTAACGTCTGAAGGAATCACTGTGTAGAACGCGCATTCTGTTGTGAGACATGCTCAGAGCCTATTGAAGGGAAAATATCAACAAAATTAGAGCAATTATGTAAATAAACATTTGCATCATTGCCATGTTTGTAATTACAGATTCTCATTAACTCTCAGAAGTTCCGTCTTCTGGGATGTGACACCATGTAGTCTGGTAGAAGTTTTGCTCTATTTGTTGCTTGCTTGGCTTAACCTTCGACCCGAAACCCGATAGTACGTTTCTCTTACCACATGACACCCTCTATCCGCAAAAGTTAGCACTAACTTTGCTGACAAGCGGCGGTCGCTCGGTTGGTATAGTTCGCTTGCGGACTACAAGCCACGGAGTAAGTGAACTTGTCAGGTAACATGGCGTCACATTCCAGAAGCAAATACACTTGGTGTTCGTGATTTTTGACTGACGGACAGAATTTCATATATAGCTTGTATGCATGCATGTTGCAGGATAGCTCAGTCATTGTAGTGACTAGGTTACTGATTCGATGACTGAGATATGGAAGTTTGGTTCCCGGTAGGGGCAAGAAACTGCTTTCTTCTTCACAGAATCCAAACCTGCTCTGGGGCCCACCAATTTTCATACGCAAAGGGTACAAGGGGCTCTCTCTCCAGGTGTGAAACTGACACCTCGCCTCTGCAGGACCGGGTTCTGAACATGTGGGGGCTATACATGAACTCTCTCATATGTCTTCATGGCGCGACGCTTAATTAAGCAAATGAACGAATGTGTGCATATTCTTGGAACAAATTCCACGTGCATAACTCCAGTGCTTCTTTCGTTTTTGCGGTCAAATCTAAAGTTAACTGCAGAGTCCACGTGGCCGCCATATTGTTCTACATCCTGGAAAAGAAAACTTAAACAAATGTTTAATATTTCTCGAAGATCATTACAACGCGGAATTACAAGACCCTGTATTAAGCGTCATTAGTGTCGCCCCCAACCTAACAAGTTCGTACGCCCATGCTGATGCCAATTCTGTGGTACAGGAAATGTTTGTCCTTGTGCATATGTGGGAGTGGAGGTATAGTTCCACTTTATCTTAATTTTACAGTACTAATTGACACGAATGACCAGCGTTACTCCCTGAGAAAAAGTCCCCTGTACCCATTGGATAGGGGACTGGGGTGGGGGGCCATGACCAGTGTGGATGCTATACAGAAGAGGAAATTCTCTGGAAATTCCTGGATCGTTCACCCCATAGCCCAGTCACTATGGTGACTGAGCTCTCATGCCCCGGCAATGGCCTCTTCTTTCCATGCGCTTATGGGCTCATTTCTTCACACTCATCCCACCATTCTGCAGTATATCTTCTGACAATGTCAGTAAATAAACAGTAAGTACCTGTATGTCTGTAAGGAGTTCAGTCGGCAAGTCTTCGAGCATGCGCCCAGAGCAGTCGGCTGACGTCACCCGGACAGTCGTATAGTAAGTACAAATTTGTTTCTCCGCCATTGAAAATACCACTGATAAGGTCAGCAACCAGGAAAACACTAGACACATGGCCGTCCTGCTGCAAAACGTCATACACCTTTGATTACAACAAAACGCATTTAACGAAAATATTGTTCTGATTTCAGCGACTGTGAAACTGACCAAAGATGGCCTCGGAATTCGGATTCTCACAGCGGTCACTATGAACAGTAAAGATATTCCTCAATTCAGGTGACAGTTGTGTTAAAAAACGCAGAGGGTACGGGGTCAAAGTTCGAGTCCCGGTAGGGTCTTCTCCACGTCGTCCAGACCGGCTCTGGCGTCCACCAACCTCTTAGGCTCTTTCCCCGGGGGTAAAGCGGCCGGGGCGTGAAGCTGACCACTCACCTTCAAATAGTGCCGAGGTTACGACGTATGGATCTATACATCCACTCCCCCATACGCCTTCATGGCGTAGCGCTTAATTAGTTAAGCACAGGGACACCCTTACATTTACCTTTTCTTTACGGCGGAAGTAACATTAAAATGGATCCTTAAAGAGATAGGATCCGGCTCAGGATCCGGACCAGTGGAGGGCTTTTGTGAACACGTTAATGAACATTCTGGTTCCATGATATGTTGGGAAGTTCTTGAGTGGCTGCACACCTGGCGGATCCTCAAGAAGGGCTCAGCTCCAGGGTTCAGATTACATTGCGTTGAGAGGTAAGTCGATTACTGAATAATTGAGATGATGTGGAAGTGGTCGTGGCCTAATTTTATACTATCGCGGGATTCGATATAG